GGGGCTGCTCTAATTGCCCCAGGGAGCGACACAGCAGCAGGGGGCACAGGCTGAACCGCAGCTTCTGGGGCTGGATGCCGCAGGGCACCGGCCTCTCCCCCGTGGCAATCTGGGGTTAACGCCTGGCTTGGGTCCCCGCTTGGCACAAGCTGGGCTGGCTTCACCCAACCCCTGTGGGCACAGAACGGCAGCCCGACCTGCTGGCCCCTGCTCCGGGGGCTGACATATCGACCGGCCACTTATTGAAAGCAGCAGGGGGGGAGCTGGGGTCTTACCACATGTCGGGTGCCAGCACCTGGCACAGGTTGTCCATGGGCTGCTCGGGGGGTGGCCCTGGCAAGCTGTACATGTTCGCCGGGCCGGGGGGTAGGCCGACTTGGGGAGACTCCTGGGGGGGCAGCTTCTGATCCCTGCGGAGACACAGCGCCACCGTTCATGGGAGCGGCACGACGGGGGGCAGAGAGATGGGCATCGAGGGGGGGCTGTCAGGGCATCGGGGGCACAGGCATGGACTTGTACTTGTCCTGGTGGGTGCTCCACCCTGGCTCCGCCCCTTCCCCCATGGCCCCACCCTCACTCCGCCTCTTCCCACCCCCTCTCCCAAGGCCCTCCCACACCCCCGCCGCGAGCATCTCCCACCACTGGCCAAACAGCTGATGGGCGGTCGGCCCCGGCGGGCGGCCGGCCCCGGGCAACAGCTGTGGCACACAGCCTGGGGCAGGGCTGCCCTCACCCCCCCCCCCACACCCCTCCCCAACCTACCTTTCACTTTCCACCGTCATCTTGATGGCGGTGGAGACGTAGCCTCTGCCGTCCTTCCCCATCTGCTCCTCTGCAGGAGGAAACAGCTGGTGAAACCCCCGGGAGCCAAACCCAGGGAAGTGGGGGTGGGGGGACGGGCTGCGACTGCAGCTGCTCCAAGGTGGCAAGGGGTCCATGTTGGGGCAGGGCCAGGCGACCCCCTCTGCCCATCCCATCACTTGTGGACTTTACCTTCCAGGGCCTGGCCGCAGCTGCCCCGATCCTGCCTGCGGGACGCCCAGCCAACGGGGCCCGGGGCCAATCTGCTGTGGCAACACCCCCGTCACCCTCTCCAGGGCATGTTGCCCAGCCCTGGAGTTGATCTTGCCCCTTTCGGGGCAGCACAGAACCACCCCCCTGCCCCATCCCACAAGGAGGCTTTGGGGGCGCATGGGGGGGTGTCCCCGGGGGCCCCCCGGACACTCACTGTTGTAGTGGCTGCCGAAGGCCTGGTCCTTGGGTTTGTCGGGATAGAGGTTGCGGAGCTGGGCCAGGTCTCGGATGCGGTCGCCCAGGGAGCGGATGTGCAGGTCCTTGGCGGAGAAGGGCTGGATGTTCTCCACCTGGATGGAGCCTGGCGGGGGGCACAGCGCAGTGGCTCAGCGTGAGCGGGGGGACCCCAGTGCTCCGGCCCCCTTACCTCTGCCCCGGGGTTCAGCTCTCCTGCCCCCTGCTGGCTGAGGCCGAGTGCTGCGCTCTGCGGCGCCCAGAGAGAACCCTGCTCCTTCCCCCCCGCCCCGTCCAGCAAGCCCCTAGCCGGGGGGCAGGGCAGGGGGCGCACCCCTCCTACCGTCCTTGCCGCGGATGACGTGGGCGATGGTGATGCCGCCGATCTCCGAGTCGCTGAAGCGCAGCAGGAAGGTCCCGTCGGGCTTCTGGCCTAGCAGCTTGCTGACGTACTGTTTGCTGATGAAGCCGATGATGAGCCTGGGGGGGGAAACGGCGGCGGGGGGGGACACGACAGGGATGGACAGACAGACGGATCAGAGAGCAAGCTGTAGCCACTCCTCTCTCTGGCCTCCCTCCCGCTCATTTCACTGGGCAAGGGAAACATGTGACCTTTTTTAGGATGGGGTGGGGGAGGACTGGGTCTCAGGACTTCTGGGTTCTATCCCTAGCTCCGGGAGGGTAATGGGGTTGAGTGGTTAGAGCAGGGGGTCTGGGAGTCAGGACGCCTGGGTTCTATCCTTAGCTCTGGGAGGGTAATGGGGTCGAGTGGTTAGAGCAGAGGGGCTGGGAGTCAGGACACCTCGGTTCTATCCCCAGTTCTGGGAGGAGAGTGGGGTCTATTGGATAACGCGTGGGGGCTGGGAGCAGGACGCCTGGGTTCTGTCCCTGGGTCTGCCACTCTTGAGGTGAACCCCTACGCCGCCCCCCCCCCCCATTCAGTCTTTACCACGCCGAGCCTGAGGCACCCACCTGTCCGACCAGTAGCTTTTGAGGCACCTCTTGGTGAGGTCGAGGACCCCGTCAAACCACTGCCAGAAGGTGAATCCCCGGCCAGGCAGGATCTCCTGTGAGCAGCCGGAGAGAGGGGGTGAGGCTGGGTCCCCAAGGGCAGAGCCTGCCCCCCACAGCCTGCCCTGGCCACCCCCCGCCCCTCACCTTGTTGAACTGGGCCCAGGAGACGCTGCGGTTGTGGAAGTCCTCAGGGCTGGCGCTGCTGTTGTTGAAGATTTTCTGGGCCAGGAAGAAGTAATGCTCCGGCAGCAGCCCCTTGCTGGTCTGCACCTCCGCCATGAACCGCAGGTTGAGGGTCTCGCACATCTTCTCCCATGGCACCCGCTCGGCCACCACGAATGGGACCCGCTCCTGCCCCAGGGCACGGAGGGAGGGTCAGGCACCAGCCCCAGCCCCCTGCCCCACCGGGAGCCGGGCCGCTGGGGTTCCGTGTTCTCGGGGTGGCGGCATCCGGGCGCCGACCGGCCCAGGCCCCGCCAGCGAGTTCGGAGTTAAACTCTCCTCCTCGTTCGTTCATTAGTGGGGAGCAGCCAGGCCAAGATCAGCGAGTGAACCCAGGAGTCCTGGTTCCCAGCCCCCCCGCTTTACCCACTAGACCCCACTCCCCTCCCAAAGCCAGGGATAGAACCCAGGAGTCCTGGCTCCTTGTCCCCTCTGCTCTAATGACCGGAGCCCGCTCCCTTCCCAGCTCTGGGTAAAGAACCCAGGAGTCCCAGCTCCCAGCCCCCCCTGCTCTAACCTCTAGCAGCCCCCCTCCCGCCCCAGCCGCACTCACAAGCTCGGAGAAGGCGTTGTCCCACAGCACGGTAGCCTTGGCGTTGTTGTCTTGGTTCCCGTGCACAATGACCACGATCGGCAGAGACAGGGCCTGGAGGGGGGAGCCTGTCACTGGGGGCGGGGGATAGGACCCCTGTGCCCACCCCCGCCCTGGCATCGGGCCGGGCGACGGTCCAGCAGGCGCACACACCGACACCGGGGTAGGCAAGGGTCCCAGGCGGGGGCTGGAGGGTTCAGCGGCGCCCCCCAGTGGTGAGACCAGGCAGCGCCAGCTGGGAGCGAGAGCCCCGGGGTCGGTCTGTGTCCAGCAGCCTCGGAAGAACGGGCCCCCGATGCAAATGGACCCAGGCGTCCTGGTGGGGACCCCCCAGTTCTGCTCCCTCCCCTACCCCAGCCGCCAGGGTCCAGGGGCAGGACAGGGAGTCAGGAGCCGCCCTCCCCTGTAGCACCAGCCCCGTACCTGCAGGTGGAAGGGCAGGTGGCCGGGACCCAAGGTGACATCGGTGCTGAAGAGCACGGCGCATTTCTCCTCCGTTACCGACTCGGAGCCCTTGCGTTCGCAGCGCTTGATCTTCTTCAGCAGCTGCCGGGACAGAGAGAGAGTCACCCCAGGGCCTGCAGCGACAGGGTCCCCCCAGCAAGGGGCGCAAGCACCTTCGCTTCACATTGTCAGAGCTCCCAGCTCTGCCAATGCCCCTCACTCCCGACCTGCAGCCCCCTGCTAGCCCAGCCCTGGGCTCCCCACAGCTCGGCCGGTGCCCCTCACTCCCAACCCGCAGCCCCTGCTAGCCCAGCCCTGGGCTCCCCCACCAAGCTCTGCCGGTGCCCCTCACTCCCGACCCGCAGCCCCCTGCTACTTCTCCCTACCCGCAAACTGCCCTTGTTGACTCTTGGGCCCAAGCACCGGGTTGTCGCCAACGGGGGGGCGAAGGGGGCATCCCAGCCGGACTCACCATGTTCTTGAAGGTGGCGCAGGACGTGGCGCTGGTGGAGTTGATCTCCAGGGCGACCGTATTGTGCACAATCTCCCCAGTGCTTTCGCTGCAACGGGGAGAGGGAGGGCGGTCAGCGAGGAGTTAATGGCCCCCGGGGTGGGGATATCTTACAGCAGGGGGGAGCGTCCATCCCCCCAACCCTGCAGGACCGTCTCACCTGAGCGGGGTGCCATAGCCGCCAAGCGCCAGCTCCCGGGCCTGCTTCTCCGTCACCATGTCGGCTTTGACCACGTAGGGCTTCGCCGAGGCCTGGAGCAGCCGGGCGCCCAGCAGGAAACGTACACTGGCCTGGAACTTGGTCTGGGTCTTCAGCACCTGTGGGGGCTGCTTCTCCACCAGGAAGGAGCTGGGGGCAGGCAGGGATGGGGTCAAGGGCTGCCTGTGGCTTGGCCAGAAGTAGCCACCGACGGCGGTTCCCAGCGTCCTGGCCCCAGAGCAGGGTCCCCAAACGGCTGAGATGTTAACCCCGCCCTGGCCCAAAACGTCCCAGCCTCCCAGACCCACCCTGTTCTGCTCCGAGCCCCCCGCCCCCACCACAGCCAGATTAGAGCACAGGCCTTGGGCCACGTTCGCCCTTCTGGCAGAAGAGGCAACAAGGCTGGCTGGTCAACGCAGGGAGCTGGGACCCAGGATGCCTGGGTTCTATCCCCAGCTCTGGGAAGGGGGTGGTTAGAGTAGGGGGGCTGGGAGCCAGGACTCCTGGGTTCGATTCCCGGCTCTGGGAGGGAAGTGGGGTCTAGTGGTTAGAGCAGGGGAAGCCATCAAGTCCATCCCCCCGGCGTGCTACTGCCCTCCCTGGCCAGGGCCCTGCTCTGCGGTACCTTTCAACCAGGGCACTCAGCACCGAGTTGAGCCGCTCCAGAAGCCGGGAGAGCAGGTCGGAGCCCAGTTCCCCACCGACCGCCACCACCTGCTGCTGCAGCTGGAAATAAATGTCCACCAGATTCTCGCACCTGCCGAAAAAGCAGCCGGGCAGGGGACACGTCTGAGCCGACGAGGACGGCCCAGCTATGGTCCCCGAGCTGGGGCCGGAGGCCAGTCTGTGCCGACGGATCCCACCCTGTCTCAGGAGCGCCACCTAGTGCCCAACAGACCAGGGGCTCTGGGAGAAAGGCGGCAGCTGATCTCTCTGCATCTCAGCTTGACACCCCCCCGTACCACCAGTCCAGCCAGGAGCCCTTCCTACCCTCGGGCGGGAGGGAGAGGGGCTCGGATCCCAGTGGGGCCGCCAGCAACGGAGACCATGGATAGCACAGGCACTGGGAGAAGGAGGGGATCTGAGCCCCCTCTGGAGCCCCCGAGGAGTGGGGAGAAACGCCTCTGCCACGCCCCAGGCTGGGACGCTCCGCCCTCCCCAACACCCCCTGGGGCTCACCTCTTCTGGAGCGGAGCCAGGTTCTCCTCGAAGACAGCCCCGTTCCCCGCCAGCTGCTGCTGCCGCTTCCAGATGTGCAGCCTCTTCAGCACCTGCAGCTTGGCGCCTTCCAGCTCCTTCACGGCCTCCAGGAGGAGAGCGGGCAGATCCTGGGGTGAGGCAAGACGGGCGGCTTGGCGGGGGGGAGGCGACGAGCCAGCCGGACGGGGCCCGGTGCGGTACCTGGCGCCCCCTGCCTTGGAGCGACGCGTGGGCCTGCCCCCCACTGCAGCCGAGCCCGGCGGGATGAAACGGGCCAGGGACGGAGCCGCTGACACCAAGCCACCTTGGCCCCCTGCCCCACACGCACATCCTGGGGAGAAGGAGGGCAAGGTGCCCTGGCCGGCCCCCATCCCTGCCCTCCCCACCAGGCCTCAGCGGAGAGGCCTGCACTAGCGAGGATATGGCAGGCTGCAGTGTCACCCCCCCCCCCCCCCCCCCCCCCGCATCCACTCACACACCAGCTGACTGTGCAATGCAGTTTCCGGGCGCCTTTGCATCACTGCAGCAGGACACCAGCTGCTCTTTGCTGACAGCTTCCCAAGGCTGCAACTGATCACGTGTAACCTAAGCCCTACACACACCCGCCCCCCACGCCTCCCCCCCCACACACACACGCCCCTCGACCCAAGCCTTGCGTCTCCCTTGAGAAAGCCAGAGGCTTTGCATCCCCCCTCTCTACAAGCGACCGGATCTGCGCTCACCGGTCGGTCCGGCTACCCCAGCATCAGCCCCCCCCACCCCATCTCCAGCCTTGTCATTCCCCACACCAGCCTCCGTCACTCACGTTCCCCTGGAGTTTCCCGTCTGTCTTCAGCTGGGACTCCTGCAACTTTGTCTGCCGGCAGGCTGCGGGAGGGGGAGTTGTAAAGCTCTGGTTAATATCCGAGCCCAGAAAACGAAGTGCCAGGGGGCTGCTCGGCGGGGTTTCCGGGGGCCCGATCCAGAGGGGAGAGGAGTCGGGCGCAGCTCTCAGCGACAGGACTTGGCTCAAGCTGCAGCGGATCATGCTGTCTGCTCAGGACGGTTCCTGGGTTCAGTCCCCAGCCCCGGCCCCGCGATTCGCGAGCTGGGGAGAGAACCCCGGAAACGGGAGACGAGCGGGATGCCAGGAAGATACTGAGCAGCCGGAGGGGAGAGATGGGGGGGGCAGCGGGTGCTGATCGGGGGGAGGTTCAACGATCCCGCAGCCACATCTCCCACACGGGGCCGTGATTGTCAGGAGTCACGTGGGGGACAGGGGGGCTCGGCCCTGCAGGGGGCCAGGCAAAGGGACAGGAGAGAAGCCGGCTCCCGGCTCTGAGCGGGGAGGAGGGGACGTGTCTGGGGTCGGGACACGGAGCGGAGCAGGACTGAAGGGAGACAGAGAGAAAATGGAGCTGAGGGACCAGAAAGCCCCCCCCCGAAGGAAGAGCTGGGGGGCCACATGCCTAGCAGGGAGGCCGAGCTGGGCTGGGGGCACATTTAGAACCAGGCAGGGTGGAGGGAACAAATCCAGCCCGGGCCCAGATGGCTCTGGCCGGGCCTGTCCAGCCGTTGCCATGGCGATTGCATAATTAGCCTGGTCACTGGGCTTTGTGTCAGGTCAGAGCTGGGGAGACACGTCCTGGTGCACCGCCCCCAACTCCACCCCCTCTGCACACCTCTAGCCCCGCCCACCCTCTGTCGTCCAATCCCCTTCCAGCCCCCGCAACTCCGCCCCCTTTTCACTCCTTCAGCCCCTCCCACCCTCTCCCCCTCCAATCCCCTTCCAGCCCCTCTCAGCTCCGCCCCCTCTTCACTCCTCCAGCCCCTCCCACAGCCTCCCCTCGCCCCCTCTCACCTCTGGTCCCGTCTCCCATCTGCTTCCACTGTTCCTGGAGCACCTGGATCTCCCCGACTCGGTGCTGGAGCCTCTGCAGGTCCAGCCCGAACTTCAGCTCCTCCTGCCTGCGGTGGAAGCTGAGCGGCAGCTGGCGATCCTAGGGGAACGGCAAAGGGGGTGGGGGTGAAACGTGAGCCGAATCCCCCCCCCACTAGCCCCCCTGTGGCGGGACGACCTCCCCATCCCCGCAGGGAACCGGGTCCCCCACCGGGATCCTGCGGCTTTTTAAGTTCTGATGCTTTGGCGTCAGGCGTTTCCCTGGGACGGCCTCATTTACCCAGAGGTGAGCGATCATCCCGCAAACCACGTGGCCCGAGCCGCTGCTGGCTGTCCCGTGGCTGCGAGACCCACGGGGGACCAGCAAGGAGACCACAAGGCCCTATGTAATCCAAGCGGCATCTACCTAGCCGTGCCCCCGCAGTCCCCTGGGAAATCACCTTGCACAGATCCCTACGCCCGCCAACTGATAACGGGCCAACGGGGCTGACCGGCACATGATGCACCCTCCGTCTAGGGCCCAAATCCTCCCCAGCCCACGCACAGGCCGACGGACACCATCCGCCGCCCAGCTGCAGAGGGGCTGGGCAAAGCTACAGGCTGGGATGGAGGACAAGGTGCCGTCGCTTAGCCTGGGTGTGCGCACGCGCAGGCATGAGTCACTGACCCGTTTGAGCAAGGCAGCTCTCTCGCCCTCCAGAATTCCTTTCACAGTTGCCACCAGCCTCAGTGGGTCTCTCCGATACGCGTTCTGGAACGGCGGGGTGGGGACATGGTTAACATCAATAGCAGGAGAATTCCCACACTCCCCCTGTCTCCGGCACCCTGCGTCCTCAGTCGCACTTGTGCAAATTGGTGCAAAACAGCACCTGCTCGTGGGCGCGAGTGGAAAATTCCGTGGCTGCAGGTCTAACCGCAGCTAGGCGCCCACAGGTCTTTGTCTCCCCCAGTAGCTCATCCACAGAGGGGCTGATAAGGCCACTATAGATACCCGTGTTTCAAACGGCAGAGGCTCAGGGTTTGACCTCTGTAGGTTCAAATTCGGCTGTCGGCCCAAGTGGGGTTGGTTACAGGGTTGGGTGAGAAATGGTTTTCCCATCTCACAGGAGTTTGAGGTTTCAGAGTTTTTCCTCTGAAAATTCAAAATCTTGAACATTTTTGCCAATCAATAATCCAGAAAAAAAAAACCCAACCCTGGAGTGGCTCAGTCGGAAAGTTTCATTTCAACAGCTTGAAAATGTTTTGTTTTGATTTTGACTTTTTAAATGGAGACATTTATTTTGTTCATATAAAATAACTAAAATGGCAAAAGCAAAAAACTTGTTTTGAATCGGGGGGGGGGGGAATCAAAAACCATTTGGCAAGTTTTCAAATCAGGAGCTTTGTTGAAACGATCCCCTTTCTCGTGAACAATTTCCGTTCTAAGGAACTGACGTTTTCTGACCAAAAAGCATTTCAGCTCAAATTTCCTGACGTGCTCCGGTTGGTTTTTTGACCCTCTCCGAATATTCCAAACAAGCTAAACATCAAAACGGAAAAGTCTGTTGTAAACGTTCCAAGACTGGCCACTTGGCAGCTGTGATTTTAAGCTACTGAAGACTCTGGTATTAGCACTGAAGTACTCCAGGCACATAACATAAGATAGAGCTAATATTTCAAAATATATCTTCAGGAAAACCCCGATCCTTTACGGAAAGCCCTGCGTCCATGTACTGCTCATGGCCCAGTCAGGGCTTAAATTTGTTCTAGGGAAAAGGATAGTTTGATCCAAGGTTTAATTCCCTCTTTGTATTTAATAGAACTCAATGATTTTTTTTGGTGGGGAAATTTCAAAGATTCTTTTTTTTTTTTTTTTTTTTTTTAGGAAAAAAAAAAAAAGATGTCATTCGATCGATGAAAAGCCAAAAACTTTCCAAGTTTTCAGTAAAAACAAAACAAAACACACTTTGGTTTTTGAGAGCCAACCCCCCTCCCCCCAACATTTTAAATAAAAACTAAACCAAAAATCCCACAAATTTTTAATAAAAAAAAATTGGCAGTCATTTAAAAAAAAAACCAAAACCAAGAGTGTCACCGAAAATGCAAATTTTCTGAAAAACATTTGCTTTGGCCCCAAAAAAGTCATTGGGGGGGAGGGGGTAATATTGGCTGTAATATTTGATGCTGCAGTGGGAGACGCTGTTGAGCGTGAATGTTAAATGGTGTCCGGGACCAAAGCCATGGGGGCAGGGGGGTTATCAACCAAAATAAATATCGATCCCCTGAGCAGATGTGGCCAGGGTCCCTTTGCCCATACATGTGCCCTGGAGAGGACAAGTTCATTCATTGGCTCAGTCAGTCCTTGGCTGGGGGACCTGAGCCCCTGTAGACTCATTGCATGTAGAACAGGGAGGCTCATGCAATAGCTATCAGAGGAGAACAGCCGTTGGCAGCTGATGCTCCAAGCGGGATTCAAAGCGGCAACTCAGGCATTCCTGGCTCCCTTTGCCATGTAACACACTCCCAGCCATGGCTCGGTGACCCCCCCCCTGCTGTTTCCATAGCAATACCCTGACCCCCCCATTCACACACACCCTCCAGGCCATACCTCCAGGTTACTAATGTGCTGGAGGACCTGACGCTGCTGCTCGTTGCCGCCGGCAAGGCATCGGAGCTTTTCCACCATGGCGGAGAGCAGCGCGCCGGCTGCGCTGGTGCAGAAGGAGTCGGCGCCGGTGATGAACTCCCTGACGGCGGAGGAAAGAGAAAGGGAGGGAAAAATGAACGAGTGCAAACATCCCGGCCTCCCCTGGCCAGGCCAACTGGAAGAACCCAACCTTGACTGGGATGTCTCACGACTTCGGGGCCCAGCTCGGGATTTTCTGAGCGGGAGACGCTGCTCCGCTCCTCCAGGAGGAAGGAACCACTCGGATTCCTCCTGCCGTGAGCTTCCGCAGACAAGCTGGGAGGCCCAGGCGAGGCCGGGCAGCGGGGTGTTCGCCACAGGGAGCGAGGCGGGTCCTGAGCGGCGCGGGACGGGCGTTCTGCACTCACCACGGCTGGTTTTCCAGCCAGTCGGCCAGCAGGCTGCGCAGGTCGCGTGGGAACTCCCCGAAGAGGCCGCTGAAGTGCTCCGGAGGCATGTGCGAGACGAGGCTCCACAGAGACATCTTGGAGCCGGCCGCCTACGGGGCTAAAAATAGACAGGAGAGGGCGGCGTGAGCCGGGCCTACAGCTATCCATGGTTAACCCCTCAAGCCTTCCCGGCAAACGACCCGAGTCCCTGGCTTCTCCCTCAGGGACCCCTGGGAAGAGCAGCGTTGCCGAGTGGAGAGAGAGAGAACCCTGAACTAGGCCTCAGGAAAAACGGGCTCTATTTCCAGCTCTGCTGCCGACCTCCTGAGTGGCCTTGGGCAAGTCACTTCCCCTCTCCATGCCTCAGTTTCGCCCCGTCTGTGAATTGGGGGATAGTGCTACTGACCTCCTTTGCAAAGTGCTTTGAAGAGAAGAGCGCAGCATCGCTATTATGTGCCGGGGCCAGCGACAAATTATAAAGAAAGAATGGGTGACCCGGTTAGACCCTGGTTCAATTCCCTGCTCCGCCGCTGCGTGACCTTGGGAAAGTAATGTGCCTCGGTTTCCCCATCTCTACAACAGGGAGAATAGCACTGCCTCACAGGGGAGATTGTGGGGATAAATACCTCAAAGGTTGGTGCTCAGATACTACAGTAATGTGGGGGGGCAGAGAAGTACCTAAGACGGGTCTAGATAGGTCAGAGGGAGTTGGGGCATGTGGGGCTGGCAGCACATCTGTCCCATCTAGCCCTGCTTAGCTGTCACTGGGATCACCCTATCGGCTCAAGTGCCGGACAATAATTTCCAAAGCCTGTTACCCCCTGCCCACCCACCTCCCTTGCACCAGTCCTCCCTTATCTCCCCCAGCGTGGAAGCATCTGGCCCCTGGGGAGCGCCCCCTCCCTCCGCTGCCCACCATCCCGGCAACACTTAACGAGGTGGTGGGATTCACTGGCACGAGATTTCTTGGAACCCAAGAACGCACGACCGTTTATAGAACAAGAGCTGTAATGGGAAGAGTTGTGGCCGGGCTATAAATCCTCATGCTCCAGGACAAACGCCACCCTCTAACTTCTGGAGGTCAGGAAGAAACTTCCCCCAGAGACAGGTTATTCTATATCTGCTTCCTGCAGAGGTTTCTTCAGCTCCAGAAGCCTCAGGTCCTGGCCTGTGGTGGAGACAGACAGATCAAGGATCCGGACCAGTCTTGCATTCCTTGTGTCCCCTTATTCCTCCCAGGGTCCAGTAGTGGGGCAAGTTCTGCTGTCGGTTCCCAGCAGGCAAATCCCACCGGGGGCCCTGTAGCAGGCCACTCCGTTTGCAAACAACAGACATTTCAGGCCAGATCCTCAGTTGGTGTATATCAGCCTCACCACCCCTCGGTTTCCATACAGCTGCTCCGGTTTGCACCCGCTCCCGATCTGGCCCTGTTATTTCTTCCCCTCAGGACAGATCTTTTGCACGTCGCTGCTCGGACAGGAGGCAGTGAGTGGAAACCCTGGCCGGATTTTGCTCCCTCTGGGATCCAAGCCGAGGAGCGGATCTGGGCTCGGGCTGCGTGCGAGAGCGAGCAGCCAGGGGCCCGGGAGATGGCGACCGAGGGCCCCGACTAGCGGCTGTTACCAAACAATAACAGAGGCAAAGTACGAGAAGAGGCGGAGTCTGCAAAGACCTCGAGGAGGCCACGGGCAAGGCCAGGAAACCAGACCAGGATTACAACATTAAGCAGCATCTCGGAGGAAACAAACAAAACCCGCCAGGCTTGCCTGCTTTGGGGAAGTAGCTTTGTGCGGCTGACGGGGGACGTTGGCAAAAACCCAGGCCCTTTTTCTCCCTTTGCTGCTCGCGCCGTCGCCTACGCTCCTGCCGAGCAGATGGAAAAGGCTTCTGATCTGCTAGCGTGTGCCACCCACTTTGCACGCCTTCGGCCGGGGGCGGAGGGGTGGGGAGAATCCTTTTGCGGAGAAGCCACTCAGGGAAGAAGCAAAGCCCTTCAATCTCACCTGTCTCCTCCGGGCCTCAGCCCTCGGCGGAAAGCTGGCAATGCCACTGCCCCGGCGTGAGCTGGGCCCGGGGATTCCCGGAACGGGTTAATTTTTGACTAAGGGATTCTGACCCGAATGCAAGATTGTCAGATAACTCCAATCTCCCAATGCCGCAAGGGCTCAGCCCACAGGAACGGAGCCAGCGCCCGCTGGTAAATACCCTCGGGTTCGCCCCAGCGATCTCCTCCCGCTTTGCAAAGCTCGGTTCAACACAGACGCTGCGCCGTGGGCCTGGCAGTGGAGGATAGCCACCGTGCAGTGCGCTCTCCGGCCATGCCCCCCCGCCCCCAATCTACCTCCCATCACGTGGGCCCCGGGGCAGAGAATAAGCTGTAACCCAGTCTGCGCCAGCCATGCCAGCTCTGCCTTGTACACGGGGGGTGGCTGGGAGCAGGAGAGCGGGACGTGGCACAGAGCCCTTATCTCAGCACTACGCTGAGGAAGCTTCCAGCACTGGCGGATGGGGGGGTTTCTCAGATGGCCCTGCCTGTCTGGAATGGCACCGAGTGAGACTCCGAGGGCACAGTGCTCAGATACCATGGGGATGCGCAAGAACCTAAACAGAACCAAAAGGGGAAAGAAGATGGGTAGCTTGCTCCCCAGGCCCCTGAGAAAGAGCCAGTCCCCCTCCATTTAAAGCTTACATAGAATCATAGACTAGCAGGGTTGGAAGAGACCTCAGGAGGTATCTAGTCCGACCCCCTGCTCAAAGCAGGACCAATCCCAACCAAATCATCCCAGCCAGGGCTTTGTCAAGCTTGACCTTAAAAACCTCTAAGGATGGAGATTCCACCATCTCCCTAGGGAACCCATTCCAGCGCTTCACCACCCTCCTAATGAAATAGTGTTTCCTAATATCCAACCTAGACCTCCCCCACTGCAACTTGAGACCATTGCTCCTTGTTCTGTCATCTGCCACCACTGAGAACAGCCGAGCTCCATCCTCTTTGGAGCCCCTCCTCAGTTAGTTGAAAGCAGCTATCAAATCCCCCCTCATTCTTCTCTTCTGCAGACTAAACAATCCCAGTTCCCTCAGCCTCTCCTCATAAGTCATGTGCTCCAGCTCCCTAATCATTTTTGTTGCCCTCCACTGGACTCTTTCCAATTTTTCCACATCCTTCCTGTAGCGTGGGGCCCAAAACTGGACACAGTACTCCAGATGAGGCTTCAGCAATGCCGAATAGAGGGGAATGATCAGGTCCCTCGATCTGCTGGCAATGCCCCTACTTATACAGCCCAAAATGCTATTAGCCTTCTTGGCAACAAGGAAATACTGTTGACTCATATCCAGCTTCTCGTCCACTGTAACCCCTAGGTCCTTTTCTGCAGAACTGCTACCCAGCCATTCGGTCCCTCGTCTGTAGCAATACATGGGATTCTTCCGTCCTACGTGCAGGACTCTGCACTTGTCCTTGCTGAACCTCATCAGATTTCTTTTGGCCCAATCCTCTAATTTATCTAGGTCCCTCTGTATCCTATCCCTACCCTCCAGCATACCTACCACTCCTCCCAGTTTAGTGTCATCTGCAAACTTGCTGAGGGTACAGTCCACGCCATCCTCCAGATCATTAATTAAGATATTGAACAAAACCGGCCCCAGGACCGACCCTTGGGGAACGCCGCTTGATACCGGCTGCCAACTAGACATGGAGCCATTGACCACTACCCATTGAGCCCGACGATCTAGCCAGCTTTCTATCCATCTTATAATCCATTCACCCAGCCCATATTTCTTGAACTTGCTGACAAGAATACTGTGGGAGGCTGTTATCAAAAGCTTTGCTAAAGTCAAGGAATAACACATCCACTGCTTTCCCCTCATCCACAGAGCCAGTTATCTCGTCATAGAAGGCAATTAGGTTAGTCAGGCATGACTTGCCCTTGGTGAATCCATGCTGACTGTTCCTGATCATTTTCCTCTCCTCTAAGTGCTTCAAAATTGATGCCTTGAGGACCTGCTCCATGATTTTTCCAGGGACTGAGGTGAGGCTGACTGGCCTGTAGTTCCCCAGATCCTCCTCCTTCCCTTTTTTAAAGATGGGCACTACATTAGCCTTTTCCCAGTCATCCGGGACCTCCCCCGATCGCCATGAGTTTTCAAAGATAATGGCCAATGGCTCTGCAATCACATCCGCCAACTCCTTTAGCACCCTCGGATGCAGCGCATCCGGCCACATGGACTTGTGCTCGTCCAGCTTTTCTAAATAGTCCTGAACCACTTCTTTCTCCACAGAGGGCTGGTCACCTCCTCCCCATGCTGGGCTGCCCAGTGCAGCAGTCTGGGAGCTGACCTTGTTCGTGAAGACAGAGGCAAAAAAGCATTGATTACATTAGATTTTTCCACATCCTCGGTCACTAGGTTGCCTCCCTCATTCAGTAAGGGGCCCACACTTTCCTTGACTTTCTTCTTGTTGTTAACATACCTGAAGAAACCCTTCTTGTTACTCTTAACATCTCTTGCTAGCTGCAACTCCAAGTGTGATTTGGCCTTCCTGATTTCACTCCTGCACGCCTGAGCAATATTTTTATACTCCTCCCTGGGCATTTGTCCAATCTTCCACTTCTTGTAAGCGTCTTTTTTGTGTCAGCAAGGATTTCACTGTTAAGCCAAGCTGGTCGCCTGCCACATTTACTGTTCTTTCTACACATCGGGATGGTTTGTTCCTGCAACCTCAATAAGGCTTCTTTAAAATACTCTCCTGGACTCCTTTCCCCCTCGTGTTATTCATGTGTATGCACAGGGCTGGGTTACTTCACAGTCTAGACCCCAGAGTCCCGAGGGGGGATCAGCACTTCAGCATTCTGTTTCTGACTCTCATGTGGGCAAAGAAAAGCTAGAGAACAGGACCCGAGTGGAACCCATCCCTACCTGAGTTTGCAGAGAGCCTGAAACAATAGCTCCCCACCATGCTTAGCTTGACTCTAAAAGCCACGGCCACACCAATGAAAGGTGCGGCTATGGTGCAGGGGCAGGACTGCAGTGTCCCCTCCGAGTGGGTTGTATCTAGGACCCAGACAGCCTCAATTCAGCAGCGTGTGAATTCTGTCCCCTGACGACTGTCCCTGTTGAGGAGTTATTATTCCACTCCTCACATGGTAACCACCATTCTCCACTGCGATCTCTGGTCCTGTACAGAACAGCCAGCATTCAGTGTCGACCGAGTCCAAACCGTGGCCCCTTTCCCAACCCCCCTAAGGAGAGCTCCCGGGAAACAACATCCCCTGGGGTTTGTGTCTCTCAGGGATGCTCAGGAACATTTGCAGCTGGGCGGGTGCTAACCTCCACGCCTGGGCAGGAGGAAGGAGGGGATGCATCACAGGCCAAATCAACCACGCAGTCACCGGTGGGAGGGGACATTGGACTTGTGCGTGCCCATCACCGGGGTCTCTCATGAAATCACGCACCCTGCCTGGCACTGCACCAACCCCGGGCGGCTGCTACTCAGTGTTTTAAGCCCCCTGACGTGCTGGCGAGCCTCAGCCTCTAGTGTCTGGGACCACCTAGCAGATAAGAGACCTACTACTAGCTGCTGGCAGGGGGAGCACTCCCTTAGCTCCGGCTGGGGATCTGCGGTTCCAATCCTGCGCCAGCTGAAATTTGGCCAGCCGCGCCCGTCTCCCCGCAACGCCCTGGGACTAGCTCGTGCTGCTTTCAGAGATCAGCCATCCACGAAGCCGTGTGCGTCTGCAGCGGCCGGGGCGCGCGCGGCGCCTTCCTGCTGCTTTCCCGGCTCCCGCTCCCTGCCCCCTGGGGGGCGTGCGGCCGCTGCTCATTACGTTGCGGACTCAGCTGCTTGTTACCCGTTTCGATGGACCGGCGACCCGCGCGGCTGGCGGCAACGGCCTCGTGGTTTGGGGGCGCCTCGGAGGAACAGCCAGGGCAGGAATCTCCCCCCACCGGGTTCCTCCGCGGGGCAATCGGTTTCGCTTCCCTTTCTGGTGACTGGCAGCTGCTAAAGAGGCCATTTTAATCTCCTCCGCGGCAGGAGGATGGGGGGGCATTCCCTGAGCCCCCCGGTGAAGGGTGCAAAGGGGGGAAACAGCCCATTTGGGAAGGAGAGAGGCCTCCGCGGGCTTTCTACTTAGTCATAGGGCAGTGGGAAGCCAAGGCTGCGTCCCAGCACTGGAGGCTGCAGTAACAGCTGCCAGCAGTTACTCATGAGACGCTCTGACATTTCCTGACAACACGAGGCACAAACCCACCCCCCCTCCGGTTCCACGGACCCCTCCCAGCCAATCAATCTTTGGGCCGGAAGGCACCTGCGCTGCAGGGACGGGTGGGGGGAGGGGCTGCTGCACGCCAGCTGGGCCCTTCCCCTCCCACAACGCTCCTTGGAACAGCACATGACTCCGAGTCCCCCGCACGCCCACAGTTCCTGGCACGGCGAGGCAGCTCGCCGCTCGGGATCGCGGGCGGTGGGGTGAGCCAGGGGCCAGCTCCGTGCACAGGCCCCCCACCCCGTTTGGCTCCCGGAATAGTACGCACCCGGCAGGCAGAACTTTCTTATTTTTTTTCCTTGGAAGGGAGAAGCCAGCGGAAATTTCAGGGGAGCCGCTCGCAGAGGAAGGAATTCCCAGTGAGTAAAGCCCAGGAGACCTGGGATCTAGTCCTGGCTCCACCACCAGCGTCCCATCACTCCCCTTCTCCGCGCCTCAGTTTCCCTCTCAGCGCTGCGGGGAGAGGGACGATTCAGGCCCCACGAGGCTCAGATTTCAGGGTGATAAGAGCCGTGCAAAAGTTGCCAAGCCAACCTCTCTCTCACAGCCTGGCAGATCCCCGCCCTTGCACGGCGTGAAGCAGACGGGAAGCCACAGATTGCAGCGAAAGAGCCACAGACGGCAGTTCATATGGCAGTGAAAGCCCTGCTGATTCAGAAAGAGAGAGACCGGGGCTTCCCCACGTGACCCCACTCGGGCCTGACGCTCGGCAAAGAGTCCAGCGCTTGCCTTTAGCCCACACGAGGATCAGGGCAGTTTGTAATGGTAGCCTCACCGGTGACTTTGGGAGAGATCGGTGCTCTCAGCGCCAGACAGTGCACTGGCTGTGGTTTTGAAAATAACCCCGGCAAGCCTGCGGAACTCACTGCCACATGATTTCATCACACCTGGCAGAATTTCTAATAAACATCTGACATGATGAATAATGGGAACATCCCCAGCACACATCAGACCATCTAGATAAGGGCTATGAACTCCCTGGCCAGGGGGGAGGAAGGAGCAGCCCCAAGGGACAGGCTATTCCATCGCGGCACAGGGGCTGGAGAGGAGGGACCAAGGGAGGCAGTGAGCCAGAAGACTGGCATGGTACCAGGGGGAGCTGAAGCCCAGAGTACAGGGCGGAGCTGGGATACCTGAGAGGATATAACAGAAGCCCCCCAAAGATCCTCCTCCCTGAATTTTACAACCCACGTGCATTTTGGTAGGAGCTGTGGCTGCCCACATTCGTGTGGGGAGCACATGAGAGCAGGGGGCATGGTGTGGCACTGCCAGGGAAGCTGGTCCCCATTTTGCCCCCCCCCGGCCCTGGGAGGATGCCACACCCCCTGCGGCGTGCGCTCCCACCCTCGTGTGGGAGAGTTCACGTTGCCAGGCTCCTCCCCCGTCGGCTGATCCCCTTTGCCACCTTGGGTACGGCAGCTTGACCCGTTAAACTCCCTGGCTAGCGGGATTCCCGTGTGCCAGGAAAAGCAGGGTTTCCCTCCCACGTCACCCAGCCGCCGGGAAAGGACTGCAGCGCCGGAGCCTCTCATCGCCTGCTTCTCTCCTCCGGCTCTCCCAGGCCAGGCCTAGGGTGACCCACGACTTCCCCAGCCCTGCCAGCTTCTTCCCACCCCTGCTAGATCCTGCTCCAGCTGATCTGACCTGGCCTTGGATGGCGACACGACCAAGCATCACCCCCACTTGGGTCCCTCTTTGGCCCCCCGCAACCATCCCATTTGCCTTTCCCCCGGTGCCCTGCCCAGCCGCATTCCCCTCGCTCCGCGCCGCCGGGCTCAGAGCCAGTCGCCCAGAGAATTTCAACCTAGCCTCCATCAGCTTCGCTTGACCAGCCCGAAGCTCCCCCTGGCTCATGAGGGAGCAGGAAGGATGGGGCACTGATGTGCCTCACAGGGAGGGCGTGCGAGGCTATATTAAAGACCGGGAGGCAGAGATACCGTAACGGGGCCATGGAAAAGTGCCGTACAGTTCACCGGCCCCCAGCCGTTCCTGCAGGGCGCCTGCCAGCGGTGGGGGGGGCATCTCTTTCAGGAAGGGACACCCAGGACCACAGAGAGGGTCGGAGAAGAAGAGGGGCGAATACGCAGAGGAGCCTAGAGCAGAGATGAACTCAACTTCGGCCAGACTTTATGGGATCCGAAGCCTTTTTTCCCTCTCCGCTTTCTACCCCTGCCTGGCCTTCCTCTTTTTTTTAGCCACAAGAACCAACTGGAGGGTGGCAGCACCCTACACCAATTTCCTGTTCACTTCCTCCTCTGCAGCATTCCTAAATAACTCTCCCCCTGGGCTTGAGAGGCCCGGTTTCCCCCTATAGACACCGTGCCGGTTTGGGCCCCGGCTGGTCCCCATGCCGCAGCAGTTCTGCCCCCAGCTTCCCCCTGCGATTCCTCTCGAAAGCTGCAGGCGCTGGTTTTTTCTGGTTAGGGGACTCAGACCTGCAAAGCACCAGGCACATAGAGCTTGGGGGCAGGCGGGGGGTGGACCACATCTAGCCCCTTCCCAGAGGAGTGGGCCTACGTCGCAGATCTTCATCGCACCACACCCGCGTCGGCCAAAGAACAGCAGGGCAGCCCCGTGAGCTGGGGACGGGACGGTCCCTCCCAGCAGATTCTGTTCCCGACGCTCGCGTTTATAGGCTTTCCCGGAGTGGTGAAAAGGGAGCTCTTTTATAGCCTGGCTCCCTTTCCCAGCATGCACTGCTGGCCGGCCTACAACATCCATGGTCCCCCTGGACTCCAAGTCCCAGAATCCCTTGTTTCCAGGGTCGGAGCTGGACAATGACTTCCCTTAAAGGGCTAGACACACAGACACCCCCGCCCCCTCCTGTGGGGGAAGCTCTTGGGATTCACAGCAGCGGGTGTAGCCCAGCAGGGACTTTACCCAGCTGCACCCACGTGATCGCAAAAGAAACACCCAAGGGGCTGAGCGCTCCAGAGAGACGCTTCCAGCTGGGACGTGCTCCTGGGTGGTTCAGCCTCACCCCCATCCCCCCCTTCCCCCAGAGCTGGGGATAGGACCCAGGAGTCCTGGCTCCCAGCCTCACCCCACCCTTCCCTAGCCTGCTAGACCCCACCCCAGAGTGGGGGTTAGAACCCAGGCGTCCTGGCTCCCAGCCCCCTGTCCCAACCACTAGACCCCACTCCCTCTAAACTCAGCAGCAGTGCCCCAGCCCGGGCTGGGGGGAAGTCCAGCCCAATCTCATCGCCTGCTGGAGTGAGTAACGTTTGTAAATAAAACAGCACCTCCAGGGCTCGGGGCCCCCCTCCCTCGCTGTCCGTCCCTCCGCAAGCCGCCTGCTTGGCACAGAGCCTAGGGCAGCTGCGAGCTTCCTCAACAGGCTGCAGATTTTAAACGTCGCTTTCGCCCCTCGCAGAGCAGCGGCCTGACCAGGCAGCCAGAGGGCGTGACCCTCATTCCCGTGCAGGCCTCGAGCCCGCTCCTCGGACGCATGGTCCTGCCGGCCACGCCAGGAGATCGGATCCCCTTCCTCACCCTGACGCTCGCCCCCGGCCGGAGAGGCCAGCTGGTCCCGGGATCCGGGCCTGTCGCTATCCCTAGACGGGCCGGCTCCCAGCCCTCGGCCCCATCCCCGTTCCGGGGGGTGTCGTTCGTCCAGCCTCCCCATTACCTTGTGCCGAGCCTCGTACGTCGCGGCCAGGGGGACGTGTCTGTTTAATCCATCCTGCCCCGGAGGGGGTGGGAGCTGGCGGGTCGGGGCCAGGGCTTCTCCGCCCCCCTGCCCGCTGGCCGGTTTGGGTTTGCAGTTGGGTTTCCGGCTTCGCAGGGTTTGTTGGGGAGCCAGGTGGCGATTGGTGCAGGGAGAGGCTCAGGCAGGCTGACATCAGAGGCTCCAAACTGTAACTGAAAGTAACGAGAGGCAGGAAGAGGGAGGAGGCCTGTGGAGGGGGGCGGGGGCGGATCGTACTGTGCCCCGCTTGCAGCTCCTGAGTTTGGCCGGAGTCCTGCCCACAGCCCATCCCTGCCCCTCCAGGCCTCTCCCCGCACACGCTGCCCCTGCCGCGCCCCCACCAGGCCCCCTCGGCAGGTCGAGGACAAGGCAGAACGGCTGGACGCAGGCCTGGCCTGAGCCGGACGGTGGCCTTCCCTTGGCCTCCCAGGTCTGCCAGTGCCCCTCACTCCCGACCCGCAGCCCCTGCCAGCCCAGCCCTGGGCTCCCACCTCAGTCCTGCCGGTGCCCCTCACTCCCGACCCGCAGCCCCTGCTACCCCAGCCCTGGGCTCGCACCTCAGCCCTGCCAGTGCCCCTCACTCCCAACCCACAGCCCCTGCCAGCCCAGCCCTGGGCTCCCACCTCAGCCCTGCCGGTGCCCCTCACTCCCGACCCGCAGCCCCTGCTACCCCAGCCCTGGGCTCGCACCTCAGCCCTGCCGGTGCCCCTCACTCCCGACCCGCAGCCCCTGCCAGCCCAGCCCTGGGC